AGATTTGTTCCCACATTAAGGAGAAACCTGATCTCCTTAGGGATGCTTGACTCTGGTGGCCTTAAGTTTAGAAGTAAGCAAGGGTTACTTGATATTGTCAAGGGATCACAAGTCCTCATGAGAGGAAAGCTTGTGAATGGCCTCTATATACTATAAGGCCAAGCTGTCACACAAAAAGCTTGTGTAGCAGCTGCTAAAGTTGATGAATCCATTCTCTGGCATAGGAGACTTGGACACATCAGTAATTAGGGGCTGTTTGAGCTGTACAAGCAAGGTATTATTACCTCAAAAGGGGCAACTTGTGTGGAATTTTGTGAAAACTGCATTTTGGGAAAAACTCGCAAGCTCACCTTTTCTACTGCTAGCAATACCTCAAAGGCAGTGTTAGAATATGTCCATTCAGACCTATGGGGGTCTCCAAATATCCCCAGTTCTTTATCTGGATGTCACTATTTTATTTCAATAGTTGACACATATTCCAGAAGGGTCTGGACTTATTTTCTAAAACATAAGGATCAAGTTTTTGTTAGTTTTAAGGATTGGAAAATCCTGGTTGAAAACAGAACTGGAAAAAGGGTTAATGTCCTTAGGACTGACAATGGTTTAGAGTTTTGTAACAATCAGTTTGCTGATTTTTGCAAGGAGCATGGGATCCAAAGACACAGGACCTGTGCTGAAACACCCCAACAAGATGGGGTAGCTGAGAGGATGAATAGGACAATTTTAAATAAGGTGAGATGCATGCTTGCTGAATCTGGTCTTGGCAAGGTATTTTGGGCAGAGGCTGTTGCTACAGCCACCTATGTTATAAATAGGTGTCCTTCCTCTACCATAGACTGTAAGACCCCAATGGAACTTTGGTCAAATAAGCCACCAAAATTAAGTCACCTAAAACCTTTCGGGTGTCTTTCCTATATGCATATTTGGCAAGATAAATTGAGTCCTAGAGCTTTAAAGTCTGTCTTTATAGGTTATCCCCTTGGTGTAAAAGGCTACAAGCTTTGGCTTATAGCTGAAAGAAAGTGTGTGGTTAGTAGAGATGTAATTTTCAAAGAAAATATTTTCTACAAAGACATTATGAGTGATTCCAGTTCTTCCCAACTACATGGAACTTTGCAGTTTGAGGTGGAGCAATCTGCCATACCTGGGCAGCATGCTGATGGTGAAGAATTGATTGAACAGTCAGCTGTTCCTGGTCAACCAGAGCTTGAAACTGGTCCCCTTGATGAAGGTGGATAGGTTAAAGAGGGAAATGGTGGTCTTGATGACTACTTGCTGTCACGAGACAGAGTTAGGAGGAACATAAGACCTCCAAGTAGGTTTGCACATGCTGATGTGGTTGCATATGCCTTACAAGTTGGGGATGTGCTTGAATTAGATGAACCTGCTACATTTAAAGAAGCTAAGAGGCTGGAATCCAAGGGTAGTTGGGTAAAAGCCATGGATGAGGAAATGGACTCTTTAAAGAGAAATAATACCTGGGTTTTGGTGGAGAGACCAAAGAAAAAGAGAGTAATTGGTTGTAAATGGATTTTTAAAAGAAAATCAGAGATACCAGGAGTGGAACCAGCAAGGTTTAAGGCTCGGGTAGTTGCAAAAGGGTACTCTCAGGTTGAAGGAATTGACTACAATGAGATATTCTCACCTGTGGTCAAACATGTATCAATAAGGTTGATGTTGTCTGCTATTGCAATCTATGATTTAGAGCTAGAGCAGCTTGATGTCAAGACTTCCTTCCTCCATGGCAATATTGATGAGCAAATCTATATGGAACAGCCTGAAGGCTTTGTAAAGAGGGGAACAGAAAACATGGTGTGCCTGCTGAAGAGATCATTATATGGTCTCAAACAGGCCCCCAGACAATGGTATAAACGTTTTGATGATTTTGTTTTATCAAAAGGTTTTGTTAGAAATAATTTTGATCATTGTGTTTATTTTAAAATTTTACATGATGACTGTTACATTTATCTGTTTATATATGTGGATGATATGTTGATTGCATATAAAAATTTAAGCGAAATAAATTCTGTTAAGAATATGCTTAAGAAGGAATTTGAAATGAAATTTCTTGACCAACCAAGAGGATTCTTGGCATGGAAATTACAAGGACAAGGGAAGATAAACATCTATCTCTATCCCAGTCTGAGAATGTGAAAAAGGTTCTAAGAATCTTTGAGATGCATCAGTCCAAGTCTATTAGCACTCCATTAGGTGCTCATTTTAGGCTGAAAGCTGTCTCTGGAGAATTATCTCCTGAAGAGACACAGTATATGTCATATGTTCCCTATTCTATAATGTTGTTGGGTGTCTAATGTATGCTATGATTGGCACAAGGCCAGACATAGCATATGGAGTTAGCATGATAAGCAGGTTTATGAGTAAACCTTGCAAAGAGCACTAGAGTGCAGTTAAATGGTTACTTAGATACTTGAATGGGTCTATTAACTGTTGTTTAAATTTTTCTGCATTTGATTCTAATGATTTTAATATTGTTGGATATTGTGACTCTGATTATGTTGCTGACCTTGATAAACGTAGATCACTAACTGGTTTTGTGTTTACTGTGGGAGGTAATGTGGTGAGCTGGAAATGCAATCTCCAGCACATAGTAGCATTATCAACAACAGAAGCTGAATATGTGGCATTGACTGAAGCTGTCAAAGAAGCCATATAGTTAAAAGGTATAGTAGGTGAGTTGGGTTTAGGTAAGAACCCACCAAAGGTAAATTGTGACTCACAAAGTGCTATCCATCTTTCAAAAAATTCTGCATTTCATGAAAGAACAAAACATATAGATGTTAGGCTTCATTTTATTAGGGAGATAATAGCTAGTGAACAAGTAATTGTTGAAAAAATTTCTCGCATTATTAACCCTGCTGATATTTTTACAAAACCTGTACCTGTTGGAAAATTTAGAGATGCTTTAGGTTTGCTAAAAATTGAATCACCATGATCATGCATTGCATATGGGCCTATGGGTTAAATGCCTACACCAAATCTGTTTTGTTGTTTTTTAATTCTGCTTTATGTTTAGAAAATAGGTGGAGTTTTGTTGTATATAGATATATATTATTTCCTAAACAAATGTAAATACTTTGTTCACCTTACTAAGCCTTCATTGGGCTGATCCTTATTTTGACTGTTGGCTATTTTATATCTGTGGGCCAAATTTGAATATGTGAGGCCCATTGTGATTTTACCACTCAGCTGAAGATGGACCCTTTGTACATTAAGCAACACATCAAAACGTCAACATTTTTGTTTGATGGCTTAATAGTACACTAAATCCCTTTGGCGGTGTGATAGAATACTCATTCTGATATTTTGATACTCTTTCTCTCGAAAAAGGAAATGCTCTCTGTTAGGGTTTGTAAGCGTGAGTGTTTTGTGCAAACACTGAGTGAATCATTGTGAATCTGGCTATACTACTTTGGAGAATCTTGTTCATCTCAACAAGACGGTTTGATTGATCGGTGGATTTTTCTGTTTGGTGTACAAACTGGTGAAGAGGGTAATCTGCAAGGAAGAACGGTGAAGCTCGTGGTGTGTAGCTTGGAAGTTCTTTAAAGGAACAACGCTTCCTTTGGTGCCTTGTGAAGATTGGGAAGTTCTCTTCATCCTTTTGTATTCTTATCTTACCGGTTCTGGGTTCTGTCTCTTGAGTTCTTTAATTCATGAATCTTTGTCTTGTTAATTTCTTGCAATTAGTTTCTCCATATTTTCGATTCTGTATAGCTGTTACTATATGCTTCAAACTCTGGTTCTTATTTTCTGATCTTGAATAAAGTTCATAATCAGAGGGCGTTTAACCCTTTTTAGGCCCCAGGACGTAGGAAACTCACTAACACTGAGTTTCTGAACCTGTAAAATACTGGTGTATCTTTCTTTATGCTTTGTTTTATACTGCTTGTTATGGTCAGCTGGTAATTGTTTGTGAAAAGTGTTCCCAAAATTACAACACTTTGAACCCTTTTTTGAGTCTCTGCAACTCCTGTTGAAGTGTTGGGGAGTGTCGGACACGACACGTCAAATTTTTTGAAGTGTCAATGCATCATAAGTTCTTAGGCATCGGTGGAGAAGACAAATTTACTTTAAGGGAACAACTTCGGTTGGGCTCAAAATTTCTGCATTCGTTTGCATTTACTTTGTTGTTCCTCTGTTGCATGTTCTTGTTCTTTATTGTTTCTATTTTTGGATTCATCTACACAGGTTCTTCCTGCTTTCATTTATTGTTTTACGTATAATGGAACTAACAATAATTGGGGATCAAGGGTCTATGTTGTAGTGATGGATTAGTGAATTTAGTTTAGCATGTATTAGCTTAGAAGAGCCGCTAGAGGTACTGCAGATCCGTAAAATCCAGAATTGACTTTTTAATATTGCAAAGCAAAAACAACTTTCAATTTAGTTTTGCCACGCTTTCATTTTGAAAAAATTATTCCAAACAGGCTCAATTTTAGACTACCAATCCACCTTTGAAAGCTTGGATAGTAGAGTACTACAGGTTCCTCCTCCACTACTCAAAAGTATCTTCATCTCCATGGGGAAGAGAATGTTGTGTCACAAGCTTATTGTTATCCTAATTATTTGTTATTAGATTAGTTTATCTTTATTCTTACCAGAGTCATGCTCATCTAACTCAAGCCCAAAGCTAATTGATCCAGGCCCAACTCATCAAACTAACTCTTCCTCTTCACATGGGATCAAGCCACGTGGAACCAATCACAACAGATGAAGAATAACTAACTTAGCTCTCAGTTTGTTAGTCAGTTAGGAATTTGTTGTAAACCTTTAAGCTTTAATCATTGACTATATATCTAAACTATGTAATCGTTTTGCAGTAGTGAAGAAGAATGATTCATTTTTTACATTTTGTGATGGTATCAGAGCTCTCATTGAGCTCTGGTATTCTGCTTTGAAGAGTTCTTTCCTTTCGTTTGTTCTTACTTCGTTCGTTTGTTCTTCTTTCAATTTCTTTCTGATTTTCTTCAATCAGTTTCATGGCGAATCTTGTTCACGTTCCTAATCCACAAACTAACCCCTCTCATCCTTTGTTCTTGCATCCGAATGAAAGTCCAGCTTTAGTTTTGGTTTCACCACTCTTAAATGGTGAAAACTATCACTCATGGGCTCGAGGGATGAAGATGGCTCTAATTTCCAAAAACAAGCTCGGTTTCATCGATGGAAGCATTCCTGCACCAGATCCATATGAACCTACATTTTCTGCTTGGCAAAGATGTGATACGATGGTGATGGAATGGATTCAAAGATCCATATCAGCGTCTATAGTGAAATCAATCATTTGGATAGAACATGCTCGTGATACTTGGTTGGATTTACAAGAACGATTTTCTCAAGGAGATGTGTTTCGATTCTCCGATTTGATGGAAGAAGCTTTTCGATTACATCAGGGAGACAGATCTGTTGCTGATTATTATACACACCTCAAAACAGTTTGGGATGAGTTAGACAATCTCAAACCTCTCCCTAATTGCATCTGTGTTGTTCCATGTGTGTGTGGAGCAATCACCAGAATGAGAGAATATCGCGAGCAAGAACAAGTTATACGGTTCTTGAGAGGATTAAACGACCAATTTGCATCTGTAAGGTCTCAAATCATGCTGCTAAGTCCATTACCAAACATCAATAGGTCCTTTTCACTTGTTTCTCAGCAAGAAAGGAAATTCAAATTGGATAATCATGTGCCTGATGCGAATCAATCATCTGTTTTTAATGTCACAAACCGAAGAGGAGGTCCTAGTTCTGGAGGTAGATTTAATGGCACATTCAATAATGGCACATCTAACAATGGCAGAGGAGGTCCTATTTACAGAGGAAGAGGTCGAAATTTTGGAGGCAGATCTCAACCTAACCGCATATGCACTCATTGTGGCAGAAGCAACCATACAATTGAGACATGTTATCAGTTACATGGATTTCCACCAGGTTATCACACAGGCAATAGAACTTCTAATACAAATGCTGCTAGCACAGATTCTCACAACTTCCATTAAGATGTTTCGGTTGCCTCCAATTCAGAACCTTACATGCATATGACCAAAACTGAATATCAACAGCTGATGGACCTTCTGCATAAGTCTCCTTCTACTGGTCCTCTTGATGCTCCTGCAACAAATCATGTGAGCAACATGGCCCAAGTTTCCAGCATAAACACAACCGAAAGAAACAACAAATCAGGTAGCCCAAATACTCACTGGATCGTGGACACAGGTGCAACAGACCACATCACACATTCTATTTCTGTGTTTGCTTCAATTCATGCTATTACTCCTCTTTCAGTAATTCTCCCAAGTGGATCTCAAGTTTATGCTCATTATTCAGGCACCATTCAATTAACTCCCGATTTAGTTCTCCATGACACTCTATATATCCCACAATTTCATGTCAATTTGATTTCTGTATCAAAACTTATCACAACCCTTAACTGCTCACTCACCTTTGATTCTGAACTATGCTTCATCAAACAGATCCCATCACAGAGGATGATTGGTACAGCTGAAAGGAGAAATGGCTTGTACATGATAATCAATAAAGAGGCCCAACATACAAATAAAGCAGATGGCAGTTGTGGAGCTATCACAAGCAGTACAGATGAATCTGTCTTATGGCACAGACGATTGGGGCACCTCTCAAAGAATGTTCTACATAATATGTCTTTGTATTTTCCCTTTATTCCTTCTGCACATGTAACTCCATGTGATGTGTGTCACTTAGCAAAACAACGAAGACTTCCTTTTAATTCCAGTGAGACTAAAACCAATAGAGTGTTTGATTTGATACATACAGATATCTGGGGTCCATTTTCTACTACATCAATGAATGGTTATCGTTTCTTTCTTACTGTGGTTGATGATTACTCACGATTTACATGGATATTCCTTATGAAACACAAAAGTGAAACTCGTCAGCACATCCATGATTTTGTTGCATTTGCTGAGACACAATTTAAATTTTCCATTAAATCCATCCGTAGTGACAATGGAATAGAATTTGCTATGACTGAATTCTATAAGAGAAAGGGAATTATTCACCAAACCAGTTGTGTTGAGACCCCCCAGCAAAATGGTTTGGTTGAACGCAAGCACCAACATTTGCTGAATGTAGCCCGTGCCTTCATGTTTCAAGCTAATCTACCACTTCCATTCTGGAGTTATGCCATCCTCCATGCTGCTTATGTTATCAACCTATTATGCTCCCCTCTTCTGGACAATAAAACACCATACCAGATATTATATGGGAAGGATCCTTTGCTGACACATCTAAAAGTATTTGGTTGTCTATGTTATGCCTCAACCCTGTTGTCTCACCGCACTAAATTTACTCCTCGAGCCCGCAAGGCTGTGTTCTTAGGATTCAAAGAAGGAACAAAAGGCTATCTCATATATGATTTGAATTCCAGAGAGTTTTCATTTCAAGAAATGTGGTGTTTTATGAGTCCCATTTTCCCTTTCATATACCTCATTCATCAGCCAACTCACCATCACATTCCTCTCACCCACACCAACCAAACAACCCTTTTTATGATGTTTTTGGTCCAAACATACAGCCACGTGACCCTCCAAATTCATTCTTATCTGCACCAGATGTCCACCCAACCTTCATCCAAACTCCAACTCATATTCCCTCACCTATTCCACTCATCATAAACAATCCCTCATCAACCCACTTACCTGTCAACACCGAACCACATCAACCTCCAAACTTTAACACCTCATCTACTGATACTGATACACTGCATGAGACCATATCTTCAGATCAAGCCACGTCTCAGCCAGATGTCATCATGCATGCCAATCTTCGTTGTTCCTCACGTGACCGAGTTCCTCCACGGTACCTTATTGATTATCATGTTGGGCTCTCCACAGCTACCAAAAGTCATCTATGTGATTCAACCTTTCCCACCAGGTACCCCTTATCTTGTTTTATCTCATATAATACTTGTACTCCCTCATATCAGCATTTTTGTCTCAACTCATCATCTCATATTGTGCCACGCACATACACACAAGCTGCCAAGTCCCAACATTGGCAGCAAGCCATGACAAAAGAATTGGATGCTTTAAAATTGAATAATACTTGGGTGATGGTACCTCTTCCTCCTGGTAAACAAACGATTGGATCCAAATGGGTTTATAAGATCAAATATCAATCCAATGGATCCATCGAAAGATACAAAGCACGCTTGGTTGCCAAGGGCTTCACACAGCAAGAAGGAGTGGATTACTTTGATACATTCTCACCGGTTGCAAAGTTGACTTCTGTTCGCACATTGCTTGCCATAGCTTCGACCAAAAACTGGTTTCTTGAGCAGTTAGACGTTGATAACGCATTTTTACACGGAGACCTCAACGAAGAAGTTTACATGAACCCTCCTCCTGGTCTATCATCTGGGAATCTAGTTTGCAAGCTCCAAAAATCGTTATATGGGCTCAAACAAGCCAGCCGCCAATGGCATGCCAAATTGTCCTCTGCCCTTCTGTCTTTGGGATATATTCAAGCCGAATCAGATCACTCTATGTTCACATTTCGAACTGCCACTTCCTTCACAGTACTACTCATTTATGTTGATGATGTAGTACTCTCAGGTGACTCTATGACAGAAATTCAACGGGTGAAAGACTTCCTTCATGCACATTTTCGCATTAAGGATCTTGGCAAATTACGTTATTTCCTTGGCTTAGAAGTGGCTCGCTCAAAGTCTGGCATACTTCTCAACCAACGAAAATATGCTTTGGAATTAATAACAGATGCTGGCCTCCTTGCTTCTAAACCAATGACTACCCCAATTGTTCCATCCTTCTCTGCCACTCAAGCCCAAAGTCCTCCTTTATCTGATGCCTCCATTAATTGTAAATTCAAATGTGACAGATAAGAAAAAAATCATATATCTGTACGGCCCAATTAATAGTTCAAGTCACACACTCCCATAATCCATTTTTTCTTCGGAGAATTCCCTTCAACTATTTGTGTATGTAAAATCAAATACAAATAATCTAATTTTCTTAAGTTGAAGGCAAATATCTAAATACATGTCTTATCTTTTTAAATAATCCATATTAGTAGCAATGAAATACTATTGCCCCCCCAAATGATAAATGATTCATATTATCTACAACGGACCAGAAATGCCTTGCTTACGTATCATTGGAAAGTGCATTAACATAAATACGGAAGTAAGAAGAGGTAATACAAAAGTATGTAAACTATAAAAACGAGTCAAGGTAGATTGTCCCACACTAGCACTTCCACGTAATAACTCTACCAAAGACGATCCTATTACAGGAATAGCTTCGGGTACACCTGTTACAATTTTGACTGCCCAATAACCAATTTGGTCCCAGGGTAAGGAATAACCAGTTACACCAAAAGATGCAGTCAATACAGCCAAAACTACACCCGTAATCCAAGTCAATTCGCGGGGTTTTTTAAAACCACCAGTAAGATACACACGAAATACGTGCAAGATCATCATTAAAACCATCATACTTGCCGACCATCGATGAACTGATCGGATTAACCAACCAAAGTTAGCCTCAGTCATTATATATTGCACAGAAGCAAAAGCCTCAGTAACGGTCGGACGATAATAAAAAGTCATAGCAAACCCCGTCGCTACTTGGACTAAAAAACAAGTAAGTGTAATTCCCCCTAAACAATAAAATATGTTGACATGAGGAGGAACATATTTACTAGTTATATCGTCGGCAATCGACTGAATCTCGAGACGTTCTTCGAACCAGTCATAGACTTTATTGAGATAGGTAAACCAACGAACCCCCCCAGAGAACCGTATATGAGAATTTCATCTCGTACGGCTCAAACAAAAATACCCAAATATTGGTTTTAACGTAAATGGATATGTGTAATAGAAAGTTTGAAACTTTTGAAGTGAATCCTATAATTCCGACGTTCTCTGTGGTTATAATGCCAAAATATCAAGTCGGCTCACGGATCTTTCTATTAATCCTTACCGGCCTCCTGAATATTCTATTATTTATTTCAATTTTTATTTGATTTTGTATTTTCGTGTGTAATATGATTTTATTGCTGTCTTCTTTATTCTTCTTATTGATAGAAATTCTCTTGTTAACACCCTATTAATCAATAAAAAAAAAAACCTCAGATTCATACCAGAACCACGATGATTCAAAACAAAAAAAACCTTTCATAGAAGTCCAATAATTCCCCGAGTAAGAACCGCTGGATCATCACTTATTCAATGAATAGATAGAATGAAAAAATCCAAAGAAAAATCTGTACTTTGATCAAAATAAAGATAAGCGCCAGCATCTTGAAAAAATCAAAATCTTTCGATGTATTCTTCGTATTCTTCTAACTCTTTGAAACATTTTTTAAGTCCGGTTGCGAGGTCTAAATATGAAATGAGGTATGAATCATAGTTCTAATATTTTTATTTTAAAAGAAATTTTTTATATTCCGTGCTCCAGATACTAGAAAAAATATCTGACGGGATAAAACCGTCTCTCTATCAAGACGACAGATCCATTTTATGCTCTGTACTATGAACGGGATCAATTATAACAAGTCACACACTCATATTCCGGAAATAAAGAAACAAAGAAATTTCACGGTCGAACTACCAAATGAAAATAGAATGGGCTAAAAATAAAAAGAACTAAAGACTTATTTTTGTATTGAAAAGCTAGTTAGTCGGTTCTTATGAATCTAATTCATAGAAATTCCGTCTAATAAAATGGACGAATTATAAATCTCCAAAATAATAGATAGAAAGATCGCAAATAGTGCCATTGCAACACCCATCAAAGGAGTAGTCCCCCACCCCGGAGCGACTTTACCATATTCTGAATTCAAAGGTTTTAATAAATCTCCTACAACAGTTCGTCTTGGACCAGATCTGGAACTATCCTCAGCGGTTTGTGTAGCCATAAATCCTATTTTTTACTCATTGAGATCTGTTGACTTTGTATACCATTCTGCTGTAAATAAAGGGTCTTATTCTATACGACGTCGTTTCGATGAACATTAGATAAAGTTATCTAAAGTAACATCGGAAACTTTTTTCCCCATTAAATTAAGCTAAATACAACATGGCGGCTTTTACAAAGATTTGGTAATATTCCTGTACATGATTGATTATAGACTCAGGTAAGTTGAAAAGAGATTTATAGTTTTCGAGAGATGATATTCTTGTGAATTCGGTTTTCAATTTATAATTCACGTTTGGTTAAATTTCCAAATGACCTTGGCCTTTATTTTGTCTTTTGGGTGGTTAATTTGGGCACTAATTTTTCTAGTTAAAAGGATAAATGAAATGAATGGATTGAAAAACAGTAGGAACTCAAATCAATTTGCATGAGAGTACGTAATGCACTTATGTATTCATCTAATTTGCATGTTTACCTACTTTGTATGATCAAAATTGTTATATTATTTAATTATGTATAGTTATAACATCAACAAAATGGGATTGACATGAAGATGAAGTCATGTATTGCATGATTCAACACTATATAAGCATGATTATATGATTACAGTTTATAATTACAACTCAAACACCCTTACCCTCAAGTAATTCATATTCTAACTAATTTGTCTTGAGTTCAATTTGACTCGTTCTTCTTAAAATTATTATAGCCTTAAAGAATTTAATTTTACTCTATATTAGTATAAAAAAGAATTTATATTAATTTAACTGCATTGCCATTTTCATATTTCAGCATCTTAAATATTATTATTACTATTAGCTTATTAATGCATCTTTTTTTTTCTTCTTTAATTATTTTTTGAATAAAAAAATATATTATACTAATAATGGATCTTTAGTAATTATTAAATTGTATTATTACGTATTATTTAATTTTTTAATTTATATAAAATAATGAAATAAGTTTTTTCACTTAAATTTTCTAATTAAAAAATATTAAAATATCAAAAATAAAAAATATAATGACAATTTAATTATGATATTATTTTAATAATTCTATACATAAAAAATTTATTTCAATTTTGATATCTAAAATGTTTTTATGTATAAATATTTTTTATGTATGAAATCCAAACTTAAAAATAATTTTATGTAGACTTTCAAGAATTATGTGATTTTTTTTAATGTTTGATAAAAATATGTTGAGAACTGAAATATTTGAGTGAAAGATGAAGTTAGTTATTGTACAGCTGTAGAGGTATATAGCATTTTCTGTTTTGAGCCCATGTGCTCACCTTTTGCTCCATTCAGTTAGTTTTTCGAGCCCATGTGTTCACCTTTTGCTCTATTCAGTTAGTTTTTCTTATTTTGTTATTTTTCTTTGGCTGTTGCTTATATAAGGCCACTGTTCATTGTACGTATGATTGATTTTAGAATGAAATTGATAATTTCAAATTTTCTGATTTTGTTATTCTAACAGGATCTTCAATATCAGAACCCAGGGAGATAAGAAGCTAAATGAGAGAGAATTCATAAAGGAAAAGTGTTTTCTGATTAATGAGAACTTGATCAATGAATAGAAATGAGTAAAACTATGAACTTATATATGGGTTCACAGCTTACAAACTCTACAACCAACTAACTAACTTCACTGTTATGTAACTAACCTACTAACTAAAGGTTAATACATAAGTTAAAATATCAGTGATAACATCTTGAAGCACTGGTCTGTATTTCTTTACTTTGAGATTTTTTTTCTTTATATTGGTAATGCATAGTTATTTTTAATTCATATTTTGCAATTTTCGTTTCTCAATATGGGTTGCTAAATTCTATTTCTGGAATTCAAGACTGTTGTAAATATTAGTTTTTTTTTATTATTATTAGTATTTGCTGTATTGGGCCAAGCCCATTAGGTCAAGAATTAGGTTTTTTAGTCTCTATAAATATAGACCTCTTTGTATCAGATTTATACACAATTCAATAATATTTCAAATATTCTTTTCTTTCAAGTTGGTATCAGAGCTCTCGATCCTGAGGGTTCTGCTTCCGGGCCTACGAAACCTTTTATTCTTTTTTTTTTCGTCTCTCGCTGCCATCAGCCGCCATCGGAAATTTTTTTTCGGGGACCTCTTGGACCGAGCAGATCACTGTTATCATTGTTCTTCCTCCTTATCTTTATCTCTCGTACAGCAACCAACAGACGTCAAAGGTCAGAACCTGTTCATCACGTTTGAGCACTTTTCCGGTGGATTTTTCACTCCGACCAGCCACAGACTCAGCCGCGTTTTCCGGACGACGCCGCCCTGAAAAACCCAGCACCATCGGAGGTCAGACGCGCCTCCACGCGCCGCCCTTGTCCTTGCGCGTGAAGACCACGCGCCGCCAACGTCAACGGCGCGTTACGGTGGTTCTCGGCTGCGGACCACCACGGTTCTGATCGTCTCTCCAAGCCGGTTCTGGATCTGTGCTCTCCACTTTGATCGGACATCGTTTGGTATTTTTTCTGAATTTCTTGGCTTCTTAGAGTTTGTTCTTTCACCAATTTCTTGTCTCCGACCAGATCTGACGTTGTTTGGTATTTGTTACGGCCACTGTGTTACTGTTCCGGCCAGATCTGACGTTGTTTGGTATTTGTTTGTGATTTTTTTTTTGGCTTCTTGGTGTTATCCTTTGACCATTTGTGTGCAGTATGGCCTCTTCTCAAAGGAGTTCCTTTACAAAGTTTTCTGATGGTGCATCTTCTAGACCTAAGAGAGATGATCGATGGTGTTCTTATTGTAAAAGAACAGGTCATATCAAGGATCTATGCTTTCGCCTCCATGGAAAGCAAATTGTCTTAGAAAAGATGGCTAGAATGCGTGGTCAAGCGCATCTTACTTCCTCTGAAATAACTCCTGCACCTAATGAGACCCAACCTGCATTTCGTCCAGATGAATTGAAACGGCTCCGAACCATCATTGATTATCTGAGTAAGCCATCAAATACTAGTGCTTTGGCTATGACTGGTATGAGCTCCAAAACTCATTCTTTCCTTTCTTCATGTAATGATTTTAAACATTCTTGGGTTGTTGATTCTGGTGCTACTGATCATATGGCTTGTTGTGCTGACTCCTTTACTTCTTATCATCCTACAATTGGAACTCATACAATAGCCATAGCTGATGGCTCACATAAATCAGTTGCGGGTTCTGGTGACATAAACTTACAACAGTCCTTACATCTTAAAGATGCTCTTCATGTTCCTAAACTCTCCACGAATCTTCTTTTTATTCATAAAATTACAAAAGATTTGAATTGTACTGTAACCTTCTTCCCTACCCATTGTGTTTTTCAGGATCTCGCCACGGGGAAGACGATTGGTAGTGCTAAAGAGCAAGGTGGGCTATACTATCTGGTGTCACAATCTCCCGCAAATAAAGTAACAGATCACATTTTGATGTCTCATGGTCAATCAACTACTGATTATTTGATTTGGCTTCATCATAAGCGCTTGGGTCATCCTCCATTTGGTTTACTCAAGTCTTTATTTCTGTCATTGTTTTTGTCTAAGCCTGTTGAGTCTTTTCATTGTGATGTTTGTGAGTTTGCTAAGCATCATCATGTGTCTTTTTCTTCTAGTAGTACTAAGAGTATTGAACCTTTTGATCTTATTCATTCTGATGTTTGGGGTCCTTCTAAAGTCCCTCATGCTTCTGGAAATAGATGGTTTATTTCTTTTATTGATGATTGCACTCGTGTAACTTGGGTTTACTTAATGCGTGAAAAGTCTGAGGTACCACAACTGTTCTTTCAATTTTATAAAATTGTTGAGACCTAATTTGGTAGAAAAATCAAGAGACTAAGAACAGATAATGGTACTGAATATGTTAATAACAGTTTTTCCCAATTTATACGAAATAATGGTATGATTCATGAACTTACTTGTGTTGACACCCCTCAACAGAACGGGGTTGCTGAAAGAAAAAATCGTCACCTTCTTGAAGTGGCTCGTGCATTAATGTTTCAGACACATGTACCCAAATACTATTGGGGAGATGCTATTCTTACTGCAGCATTCTTGATCAACAGTTTACCCACTCGGGTCCTTGACCATGTAAGTCCTATTCACTCTATAACTTCTTTTTTCCCTTCTATTCCAACTGTGAGTCTTCCTCCACGAGTGTTTGGGTGTGTTGCTTTTGTTCATGTTCATAAACATCATCGCAGTAAGTTGGACCCTAGGGCTATTAAATGTGTTTTTCTTGGTTATGTTCCTGATAAGAAGGGCTACAAGTGTTATCACCCTGGTAGTAGAAATTTTTTTGTTTCTATGGATGTTACATTTCAGGAATCTGAGTCCTTTTTCCAAGGTCCTCATCTTCAGGGGGAGAATCTTTCACCTCCCTTCTTTGAGTCTTCAATATCCACTCCTTTACCTGTGTCAGTGTATTCTCCTCTTGTTCCTGTTCCTCCTGTGTCTGATCCTCATGTGAGTGATCCTCCTGTGACTGATACATCAAGTACACCAGACATACGGAAGATTATGACACCTGAGTTGGTATATCAAAGAAGGAAACAACCCACATTGCCTCAGCAGCAACCTCAATTGTCTGAACCACTGGTAAGTCCTGAATCTCATATTTTTTATCATGATACTTCTGATGACTTACCAATTACTACTGATTCTGATGATTTACCCATTGCTCTTAGAAAAGGAAAAAGAACTTGTTTCAAGAAATCTTGTTCCTCTTGTACTTAATACCCTATCTCCCATTTTGTTTCCTCTGCT